GTCATATTGCATACACCTTAATAAGTCAAGAGGAACTTATAAGAATAATCTCAGTTGAGTGCCGTATCAGCCTCCACATGGGAGGTAACTCAAGCTCCACAAGGGAGAAAAAATAATAATAATGATGTCCTCCGACTCAAGGGAGGCATTCAAGTTATAATCCCGGTGTCATGGGGGACCTTGCAAACCCTCACGTTCCGATGATTGCGCGCAAGTGGTACGAGCACTCTGGCCCATCAGTAAGAAAGATAAGATAAGATAATAAGATTCTGATAAGACATCATAATTAAGCATAATTGGCTCATGCATATTTATTCATGTGAACTTACAGTTATTTTGCAAGAGATAGTTCCTACTTGCTAAGTGAAAGCTCATTATAGAATGTTTATACTGTAGGTAAGCAACCGGCATATAATGCCTGATGGACTGCTGGCGAGTGGACGAACGATGTGGGGCTCGGGATATGGATACCACTCGCAAATATTTCCGCAATCAGCTTTATGTTACAAATAGTTTTGTTAATTATGATTATGAAACAGATATGTTAAGGTTTGAATATTTTAATTAAGAAAGCAATTTCGTATTTTATGTTTATAATAAGACCTTTAAAAAAAAAAAAAACGTTCCGTAAATTTTAAGAAATTTCAGTAAGTACAAATTAAAAAGTTAGTTACAGTGGCGGCCTCAAAAGAGGGTCGCTACAGAAAGTTATGTAATTTAGGTGAGCAAAATGAAGAGGAAGGAGAATGGCTTACTTTTATTCTGTTTGGTATGGATTCCCCACTGTGATCTCTCCATATTGGGAGGGATTAAAATTGGAGTTCTTTGAACGATTTGAAAATCCCTCATCTTTTCTCTCTTACCAAACAAGCACGAGTCCCGATATCTTTCAACAATCCCCTCACCCTTTTCCCTCCTTCCATTTTTCTCTCCTATCAGACAAGTTCTTAATAGTAATGCTTTTAATCTTCATATGTTTATACCATTTAGTTGACTATTGAGCTACTGATCAGGTTTCAAACCGCCTCTTAGTAACATAAATTCAACCAACAAGAAAAAGAAGATTTATCTGATAGTGGGGACGACTGTTGGTGTTGGTGTACTTTTAAGCTTTTTATCTGTTCTGGTGGTTTTCTATATCGTTCACAGAAGAAAGAAGTCTCAAACCAAAAATAATGAAGGTACTCATTGCTAGCTTCAGTTGCCTTAGAACTTCTAATTTTCTTTAACATTGCACACTACTTCTAACTTTGTTTAACATTGCGCACCAACTCAACAATTCCTTGTTTGCTTATGTGGTAAACTACAAAATGTATTCCTAAAGTTTGGATCTTACTTCCGAATGCTATTCATTCCTAAAAACAGTTGGATAATTTTAGCTATTTTGTAAGAGAAAATAGGTTTTCAACACTTTGCTCCTTGAACTTCTTGTAGTTTGAAATTATAGTCTCTTTTTCTTTGCAATTTACCCCATAAATTTCTAAAACAGTAACAATTAACTCCATCTGAAGTGGTTGATGTCAGAGATTTTGGGAGGAATTCTGGGACTCGCTAACAAGATAGTATTTGAGGAGTAAGAAGTGCCAAACCATGAGAAGTTTAGGGGAACATGTGCTAATCATTCTATGTAAAATTAAATCTCCTTAATCATTGTAGTTAATTGCTAATATTTTTGGAAATTGATAGATTAAATTGCCGAGACAACAATTTCGAGGACGAAAGTACTAACCCAATAGAAGTGCAAGGGGCACGGATGCTAAAATCCTTAAATGAAATGCAAAGTTTTTTTTTTCATATTTATTAAAAGGGCTGGCTGTTTTATTTACTTACAAGCAGGGAATGCAGCAATTTTGATATGATATGACGTGTTTTATGTTTGTTCTACAGAACTTTTTGGAATGGATGTTGGACCATTCACTTTTAGCCATGCTGAACTAAGGACGGCTACAAATGACTTCAATTCTACTAATAAGTTGGGAGAGGGAGGATTTGGACTTGTCTACAAGGTAAATTATTTTTCTAAACTACATTAATTACCTCACTCTTATAGGGTCTTTTTTCTTCCCCTTGGAAAGTTATTTTGATAATGTACTCAAACTTAAAACTTGAGTACTTAACAGGGAACACTTGATGATGGAAGAGTAGTTGCCATAAAACAACTATCACTGACATCCCATCAAGGGAAGAACGAGTTCATGACTGAGATCGCGACGATATCCGCTGTTCAACACCGAAACCTTGTGAAATTGTACGGGTGCTGCTTTGAGGGAAATAAACGGCTTCTCGTCTATGAGTACTTGGAAAACAATAGTCTTGATCGAGCACTATTTGGTACGACAATAACATCTACAAACATGACTTATGATTATCAGCATACAGTATAAAGTATAGTTCACAACAACAATAATAGTAACGAAATTTAATACTTATGTCTTGCAAGGGCCAGGAGACCATGGCATGAAACTCAATTGGTCAACGCGCTTTAGTATTTGCTTAGGAGTAGCGAGAGGTTTGGCTTATCTTCATGAGGAGTCGCGTATTCGAATTGTACACAGAGATGTAAAGGCAAGTAACATTCTACTAGATTCTAATCTCAACCCCAAAATATCAGATTTTGGTTTGGCCAAGTTCTACGACGATCAAAAGACTCACATAAGCACCCGTGTTGCCGGAACATTGTAAGACGTCGTAGACAGCTTCTATTCAAAATGAATGGTATTTTTGTTGATTGATTAATTTCATGTTTCACATTGATATGTTACGAGTGTTCATTCATTAACTTTTAATGATGTAGTGGATATCTTGCACCGGAGTATGCTATGAGTGGGCATCTGACAGAGAAAGCTGATGTGTTTGCCTTTGGTGTTGTGGCTCTAGAGATTGTTTGTGTCCGGCCACGCTTTGACTTGAACTTGGATGAAGAAAAGAGATATCTTCTTGAATGGGTAATGTTTCGTGTTGCATAATTAATTTTGACCGACATCAAAGGTGGATTTGGTGTTATTAAAAAAAAAATAATAACAAAAAATACAAGGGATGAGTTTTTTGCTGGAAACATACAAGGATAAGTTATAAGGAGTCCGACATTTCGATCAAACTGATTCGAGACTTTTGTTAGTATCCCTTAAAAGTCTTTTTAAGTCCAAAATTCCTAATAATAGTATTCGCATTTCCTGCTTTCCTAGGCTTGGAAACTACATGAACAGAAATGCGAACTTGAACTGGTGGATTCAAAATTGTCCGAATTCGATGAGGAAGAGGTAAGAAGAGTCATAAGAGTAGCTCTTCTATGCACTCAAACATCACCATCGGTTCGACCATCGATGTCCCGCGTGGTGGCAATGCTTTCAGGAGATGTTGAAGTAAACAAAGAGATTCCAAAGCCCGGTTACTTCAATATTGACTGGGAATTCAACGACGTGAGTACAATTACTAGTAAAGTAAGTGATGCCGATGACAATTACTTGTTTGCGAGTACTTGACATGGCGGCAGATGGAGAACTGTCATAAAGTCGACCTATATTGCGGAAGTGAAAACTGGTTTGAATTGGCCTTTTCTATATGATGCACTCTTGTATGTATTAAACTAATTATGAGATTTGGCTACTCAGTGAACTTTTTGTCTTAGGATGAAATTTGGTTCTCTATCCAGAGTAGATAAGTAAATTGAGTATGGTTAGACATGGCTGTACAACAAGCAATAACTAACCACTACTACTAACATGATTCTTTAGAAACTATTGTGGTCATAGGCTCATAGCTGACCAAAGATCTTTTCTTTTTTTCAATTTTTTTTCCTTTTTAATGGGTCTAAATCTAAGGGAGAAATTTAAATGGTCTCTAAATGTATTTTCTTGTTTCCAATTAGAGGCTTGTCAATTCTACAACATAAACACTACAAGAAACAGGGCTATTAGCGACGACAAAAAGTCATTGTAAAAAATACAAAGTCATCGTAAATACATTTTTAGCGACCATTTGTCGTCACAAACCTGTTGCCGCAATTGATTCGTCGTAAAAACTATTTTTGTGACGACAAGCAGTCATTGCAATTATAGTTGCGATGACAATTATCGTAAATGAGTCGCTGTAATTATTTCGTCAGTTATATCATTAATATGACACGAAGCAAGTGGTCTATTGCATTTTTATCCAATCAGACTAAAAATACGACAACAAATGAGAACATCCGGCCGGCCAATGACACGAATGAGCAACTGGACAAACGAAAACATGAACGACAACACCAAAAAATATGACGTCATTTATAGAAACGGCAATAGACTGATAGAGTGAAAAATCGTCAACGGCAACAATCTTACAAAATGAGGTGAATTTCATAAACGACATAAATATAAAGAAACGATGCAAAAGAGAGTAAAAACACTGTAGCTTTGCAAAAATGTACTTGAAAATCTTAAAAGTGATGTTAAGCTTGAGGGATGATAGAAACTACGCTACAGCATGAACAACAATGACGTCAAAATGACAACTTAAAAGAAAGTAAAAAACTAAAAATAAAAACACAATAATCTAAAAAACATAAAAATTAAGAAAAAGGAACATAAAAAAACACAAACCGCAAAAATAACATAAAAAACTAGAGCAGCGTGGATATAGAAAAGGCAATACACTCACCAGTTGCAAAAACGACAAGACCTTACAAATGCTAAAAAAACGACATCAAATCGTTCATGCGAACAACATAAGCGGCAACGACCTCAAAAACGAGAGAAATGGTAAAAACGACAGTTATATCGTTTAAAGATAATAATTTTAAAAGCTATAAATGGAAAAGGCAATAACTTCGTTAATTGGCAGCAACTAACCAAAAGAACCCAAACTACTGACAGCAATAACCTAAACAAAACGACATAAACATGAACGACAGGCTCGAAATTTTAAGAATGGGAAGACAGAAAAAACTGAAATGGAACATAGAAACGACAATACCAAAAAATATGACATCATTTATAGAAACGGCAATAGACTGATAGAGTGAAAAATCGTCAACGGCAACAATCTTACAAAATGAGGTGAATTTCATAAACGACATAAATATAAAGAAACGATGCAAAAGAGAGTAAAAACACTGTAGCTTTGCAAAAATGTACTTGAAAATCTTAAAAGTGATGTTAAGCTTGAGGGATGATAGAAACTACGCTACAGCATGAACAACAATGACGTCAAAATGACAACTTAAAAGAAAGTAAAAAATAAAAATAAAAACACAATAATCTAAAAAAACATAAAAATTAAGAAAAAGGAACATAAAAAAACAAAAACCGGAAAAATAGCATCAAAAAACAGAGCAGCGTGGATATAGAAAAGGCAATACACTCACCAGTTGTAAAAACGACAAGACCGTACAAATGCTAAAAAAAAACGACATCAAAACGTTCATGCGAACAACATAAGCGGCAACGACCTCAAAAACGAGAGAAATGCTAAAAACGACAGTTATATCAATTAAAGATAATAATTTTAAAAAAGCTACAAATGGAAAAGGCAATAACTTCGTTAATTGGCAGCAACTAACCAAAAGATCCCAAACTACTGACAGCAATAACCTAAACAAAACGACATAAACATGAAAAGAAAAAAAAACAAAAACAAAAACAAAAAACTGCATTACTGGACAAACAGCGAGAACCTCTAAACTTATTCAAAAAAAAAATGAAAACCCCAAAACTGCAACAATATTTCGAAAACGAGACCAACTATAAAAACGATGATAACCTTAAAGAACGACATAAACATGAAAAGAGACAGGAGTCACAAGACCTAAGCAAACGACAAGAACCAGGGAAAGGACAATACGAAGGAGGTAAGAAAACCATACCAAACACAAAAACGACAATAATTTGTACAGTCGACAAGAACTTCAAAATCGACATTAACTTGTAAAATGACACCAAATACAAAGCTAGAACAGCAAAATTAGGATGAATAACTTCGGAACCATTCAACCAAGTTATTAGAGGAATATAACTTTTTTCATTTGTTTTTTGGTTTAAATTCAAGCCAAGTTTCTCAATTGTCTGCTTGTTGCCTTGTTGGTCCCAAGTGATCTTGAAACGACATTGTTTAATTTAGAGAAAAAATCAAAAATACCACTCAAGATAAAATATATATATATATATTATTTATGTCATTCTATTAAACGACATTGTTTAATTTAGAGAAAAAATCAAAAATACCACTCAAGATAAAAAAAAAATTATTTATGTCATTCTATTAAAAAATAAATAATTATTATTTAATTAATAAGAAGAAAATAAAAAGCTATAATAGCACTAAATTATTTAGAATGACATACATAATAGATTGGTACAAAACTACAAACTTTGTACTTTTCTCTGTAGATAGAGGTTAGGGGTCTAAGGCTTAGTTTGGTAGTGCTGTAGATTTTGAAAAAATTACTTTTAGCTGTGCTGAAGAAAGAAGCAGCTGTTACAAAAAGCTGCTGAGTGTTTGGTAAACTATAATTATAGTAGCTGTGCTAGTTCTAAAATCAGTGTAATAGCGTTTGGTAAATTATGAGGTTAAATTGTTATGGATAGTTAAAAATTACGACTATATTATATTATACTATAATATAATATATATATAATTACAATATAATATATATTTATTATTTTATTTAATAAAATAAAAAAATAATTATTATATAATATATTATATAATTATGATATAGAATATAATAATATTATTAAAATAATAACTCTTGAAATCAATAGGGAATACCTCTGCCATGATGTCTTCAGTGAATGGCGGCTCTGTTTCATCCAATATGTCTCTTACACCTTCCGGCAAATTCTTATTGGCTTCTATTTCATCCATTAGCCTTCGCATCCTTTCGAGCTGCTGCTATTTAAAAAAAAATGAAAACCCCAGAACTGCAACAATATTTCGAAAATGATACCAACTATAAAAACGATGATAACCTTAAAGAACGACATAAATATGAAAAGAGACAAGAGTCACAAGACCTAAGCAAACGACAAGAACCAGGGAAAGGACAATACCAAGGAGGTAAGAAAACCATACCAAACACAAAAACGACAATAATTTGTACAGTCGACAAGAACGTCAAAATCGACATTAACTTGTAAAATGACACCAAATACAAAGCTAGAACAGCAAAATTAGGATGAATAACTTCGGAACCATTCAACCAAGTTATTAGAGGAATATAACTTTTTCATTTGTTTTTTGGTTAGTTTCTCAATTGTCTGCTTGTTGCCTTGTTGGTCCCAAAGTGATCTTGAGACGACATTGTTTAATTTAGAAAAAAAATTAAAAATACAACTCAAAATGGTAAAAAAATTTATTATTTATGTCACTCCACTAAAAAATAAATAATTGTTAATTAATTAATAAAAATAAATTAAAAAGTCACAATAACACAAAATTATTTAGAATAACATACATAATAGACTTATATAAAACGGTAACAAATTATATACTTTTCTCTATAAATAGAGGTTAGGGGTCTAAGTTTTCTTTGGTTATTGGACCTCAACAACAAAGACTAGTATTTCTCATGTTTTCTTTCCGAGGTTATCCAAACATGAGCTAAAAATTCTGAAAAATGAAAATCTATTATCATTTATATGTGATGTTGTAATCATATTCGAGTTGCCAATTTGGCATCGTTTCCCAAGAAATGAAAAATTGACTTTGAGGGTGATATGAAAATTCATGTTGATAGTTCAATAAGCTTTTGTGAATATAGCAAAATTATGATTCATGTGTGTAAGCGACGAAGCTTCAATGCCCAAAAACAATTTTTTGTTCTTACTTGTCGGTTGTATTAGACACGTACAATAAGTTAAAAATAATTATTGCCTTAACTATTGTTGATATGATTTGTTTATTCTTCTTCTTTGTTTTTTTTTTTTCAACTTTTGTTTTCTCAAGTCTGATGCAAATGTGTTCTTTATACTTTATACCAATAATCTATCGTCAAACTATTCAAAAAGCTTTTCCAATTATTTTATGTCTATTTGCCTATTTTATTTGTGCGAACGCTGCTAATTAATTAACCTTTCAAAACTAGACTTTTCATCTACAAAGAAGAAGATGCTAGACGACTAAAGATTTCCATTGGATATTATATTTAAGAGGTGTTTTGGTGGCGGCCAAACAACCTAATATTACTACATGTATTTTCAGTAGTAAAAATTTAAACGCTATAGATAACTTAGTTTTAGATGTTAGTTTAAAATTGTTAAACCTACTCTTTAGGTGTATGAATATAGATTTTTACTCTTTATTTTTTTTATTAATACTCTTTTAATTAATATAGTTATTTGACTAAAAAGTATATTAATTAATAATAAGTTGTATGGTTGAGGAAAAAGAAAGAAGAATATTCTTTAGGTGTATAACTTACTGTGACACTTTTGAGGGTTATTTATTATTTAAATTATATTTTGAGCGTGTTTAACATTGTACCTTAAATTCTGAATTCATATTGTAAATTTGTTCCTCTTGATGTTAAAGTCGTTAACTTACTGTGACACCACTTCAGTTG